CAGTAGAAAAAAACAGAACTTTTATAACTTTAAATGCACCCACATCCACTATAGCTAGTAAGCAAGAAAACTTCTGTTTAATACTTTGTCATCTTCTCTTCTATCTTACTGTTTTCTGTCTTTTTCCTTATTCCTCCTTTGGGAGCAGAAACAAGTTTATTGACATAGGCATAGCCAGAGGGGGTGGGGGACAGCTGTCCCTCCCAATCAAGTAAATAAATAACAATACTTAACTGACCAATTGCATCACAGATAGCTTGGTTCTGCCTCCCCCCCAATCTTGACTACATCAATGTTTCTTGATATTAGAAAAATATTTTAAATGAATCACAACTTTGTGATGTGATCAGACATATTACTTAACCAACATCAGCTCTGCAAGGTCCCAAAAATAAAAGTAAATAAAACAGAAGTAAGAAATAAATTGAAGCATGTGCTGCCTCTCAACTGTGTTTGTTTAGTCCAAAGTAAATCCCAATATCTTCATTTTAACAGCTTTCCAGGTTAAGTGTGTACAGGATTACAGCCTCAGTCTCTTATCTGTAAAAATGGGATCTATGAAGTTGTGAAAATCAACAGGATCAAGTTCTGCAGCAGCTTAAAAATGCTGTGTAAATAGCTACAAGCTCTTTTAGGAACAGTTTCTGTTAAGTCATTGCAACTTTGTTATTGAAAACTAACATTGGAAGGCTTGAGTTAAAAGAAAGGCAAATGTCACATAGACTATAACACTCCTTCATAAAAATAAGTTCCATTTTAATATAAGAACCACAAAGTTGGAAAGGCACTCAAAATTCATCTAGTCCAACCCCTGCTAATGCAGGAAATTAACTACTACATCATCCCTGTTAGATGATCATCTGCCTTAAAAATTCCAATACTGTAGAAAGTTCACCACCTTCCTAAGCAGCCTGCTCCAGTTTAGAACAGCTCATACTGTCAGGACTTCCTAAATCTAAGTCATGAGTTACTTTCTTGTAAAAGAGTATATAGAAATGTTGTACTCACACTGCCCATTAAGATCCCTATTAAAAGCCACCTATCAAGAGGAATAGCTTCTTTTTACAAAGCATCTGACAAGTTACTTTAGGTGATAGATTTATAGAGTGCCATAACTAGTTTGGTGTGTACAAAGAGGCTTTGGACATGTTTCTCCAACAGCAGTTCCTCATGGCATATAGCAAACCACTTTTTAATATGAAGAGGTATGGAGGTGAGCTGTACAAAGGGGGGAGAAGTCCAAAATTCTACTGAGCCTAGCTTGTGCTCCAAGATTCTAGAAGATATTAATTATAACAGCATTGTAGTTAAAATTGTATAGAATTGTTTTAATTAAATAGCCTGCGGAAGAAACTAAGTTTTTAACAGAATAGCACAGAATATGCAGAATGAAAAGGAAAGGGGCTCTGGCCTGCCTAGCCCCATGCCCTCTTAACCTTCATCACCTTAGCCAGTCACTCTGGAAGAGATGAGGGAGAGACGTATGCCATAAAAGTTTTATATTTATTTTGTTAGTTACCCTGCCCTTTTCTGTTGAAAAATAATTATGTGCCTCTCTGGAAAACACTTCTATAAGTTTACTTATAATAGACTAATACTTGCTATATTTCTGTAGTTCAAAACCTTTAAAACTCTTTAACAAAAACCTAAAATAGCACACCTTCTTGGATATGAGGAATCAGGTGTCTTTCATTGGTAACAAATGCCCTACAAAACTCCTGGTTTTCTTTCCAGTGGTTGCCAATAAGTAAATAAAACTGAGTTAAATTATTCCACAACAGTAAGTCAGTAACTCAGACTGTAATAAAATCTGAAATAGTTGCACTAATTGTTTAGTACAACTATTCTGGTTATGGCTGCATAAATCAGGCATATAAACGGCTATATTAAAAATGAACTGCTTTCTCCACTTATGCTGTCAAGGAGTGCAGTGTGCAAGAAATTATTGCTCAAATATATCCTGCTCACATCTATCAATATTGCAAAGTTTGATGTCTGTTCCAAATGACATCACAAAATTCAGCACAAACCTGTAGCATCACATTTAGAATGCAATCCTAAACTGCATTCTAAACCCTATTTAATAAACCCTATTAAATCAATGGGACTTAGGCTGCAGTCCTATACCCACTTACCTAGGAGTAATAGTCACTGAACTCAATAGGACTTACTTCTGAGGAAAAAAAGATATAGAACTGGGCTGTTACTTACAATTAAACATGCATCAGATTAAGATACATGGGACTGGGATGCATACCAGAGCAAACATTCAGCTAAAGTATGTGAAACTGTCTTGGAGCACAAAAATAAGTGCATAGGAGTCATTCAAAGCTGAAATATTCAGCTACTGCTACATTCAATTATTTCCATGTATGAAATGTTCCCTTATTACAGTGCTGATTTAGTGTACAGATGAGGTGCCACTGTAACACATTTTCAAGATGAAGAGGAGTCTTGGAATATTTTATTTCCCAGGAGAGTTAATGGAAACTAAACCCCAAGCCGCAGTAGCTTCCTTTGTGTGTATCTTCCCCCACTCCTCCCCACCACTTTGGACTTGAGTGCAGCAGTGTGGAGACAATGAGCATTCTGTGCACAACGCCCACACGGATTGGCTGGGCTCCCCCCAATACCCCATGATGTAATGTGTTTGGAATGTGCCGGGACTTTGAGCTGGAGGGGGGGCAGGGGTGGCATTTCTCATCTGTTTCCCAGACCAAGTGGGTTCAGTAAATTAACATGATGGACCCGGGTGTGCATTTGCAGAATCTCACTACCTTTCTCATACTTCTGTTTAGCATGGAATGGATTTTTTTTAAAGCCTGAGAACCAACACCATTCCCATCTCAGTACATCACTGTGTTTGGGTAAATATGACTGCATACAAGAGTGTACAGGAAATGTGTAGGTGAGGAGATAGTATCAAATATAGGTGCTGAGGGGTGCTAAAAGACTAGCCTAATAGAGGTGTGGATAGGAACACTATACATTGGGGGCAAACAAGGCAGAATTCAGAGAAAGCTGCAACTGTGTCCCATTCCCATTTTGTTTTAATCATCCTTTCTCCACAAACAACAAGTCCATATCTTCACAGCAAACTTCATCCTTGGTGGCATTTTAATCTGACAACTGCCAGTGTTTTAAAAGTGACCTCCATTTCAGAAATCAATCTGCCTTCTGTCTTTGGTACTGGTCTTTTAAATGCTGTTATCGGGGGATTGGTTAAAAAAACAACAACCTAAAATTACAAACTCCCTCGCCCTAGCCGCCCAGTCCTGTTTTGAGAGGAGAGCTCTGCGTCCACACACTTGTTAAGGGGCAATCAGAAGTAGTAACCCAGGGAGGGAGGCAGGGAGACCAGGAGAGTGCGTGCACCAGCCACCCGCTTAGCACACACCATCCTGCCTGGCGCTCGCTAGCTCTAGACTGGAGCCACGTAGGCTGGGATCACCTCGCGCTCCCCCTGCTGCTGCTGCTGCTGCCGCCATCTCCCGAGCCTGGGTGGGTCCCGCAAGCCGGGGCGTGCGGGCTCCTGGGCAAACGAGGAGGTGGAAATCTTTTAAGGCAGCAGGAGCAGCAGCAGTTCCACACTCGTGTCACCCCCCCCACCGCACGTCAGAAGGCGCAGTCACGAGCGCAGAACTGCGCGTCCCGAAGCCACAAACCAGCGTTCCTCTTTGTTTGTTTCGCCCCCCCCCGCTCCCGCAACCCCTCCTCCTCCTCCCTCCGCTTTTCTCTTCATTAGACCCGGGCTTGTCCCGCCGCAGTGATTTGCCAAGGAGGAGCGGCTGGGCTGGCTGGCTTTCGCCTCGGCCTCTGCAGCTGGGAGAGAAAGAAACAAAGTCTCTCTCTCTCCCTCTACTAAAGTCTCTCTCCCGCACACACCCCTTGGGCCTTCTTCCCTCTTAAGCGGGAGGAAGAAAGAAAAGAAAAATTACACCCAAAACTTTCCCACACGCGAAAAGAAATACCCTCCCCGCCTGCGCGCGAAGTTAAAGGGAGGGAGAGCGGGCCATCACCATTCCCCATCCAAGAAGGAGGCGAAGCCAGACACTTCTCCCCGCCACCGAAAGGAGCGAGGGATGAGGGGAAGCGGCGGCGGCGGCGCCTCACAGTCGGTGTCTCCACAGGCAGGAGGGGAGTGCGAAGCCTCCCTCTCGTCTCGTGTCCCCACCCCACAAAACCCCATGAAAATAAAATGGGGAGGGGGCGTGTGGGTAGAGCCGGGGGACTCTCCCGTCAAGGAAGGGAGCTCAGGGTCCGCGGGGGCTTCGGCTTCCCCGCCCCCCCCCAGCCGCTTTTGTCTCTCTGGCGATTTCTTTCGCGATAAATGCGCGGTTGGAAGCGAAGGGCTTTGTTTGTAACCCATTAAAAATAAAAATAATAAAATGGGGTAGATGGGGTGCGGTGCCGGGAGTGCCAGCCTGTGATTTACCTCACACGTACATCTGAGGACGACAAGGGGGGTCACACGTCGTCTTCTGAGGGGAAGGGGGGGAGAGAATGGTGGTCTCGGTGAGGGGGAAAGTGGGGGCTCCTTCCAGTCCTCCTGCCGAGAAGCAAGGGGGAGGGGGCTCACTCGTCCTACACAGCCGGAGTTTGGGGATGGGGGCTTCGTTTCGCTCGTGCCCCACAGTAAAGGAATAACACACACACACGGTTTTAAAACCACACGGCTGGGGTAACCTTCGCCTTTCACGCGCCCCCCACCCCACCTAATCCCGTGCATGGTGAGGTGATGATGGAGCAGGCAAGGGAAACGAAAAACGTCCGAAAATAGGCAGTTGGGAGTTTGGTTTTTCTCCCTCCCCCCCCCCTTCGCCCGAAAAGTTGTGCGTTTGGGGGGGGGAGTCTGTTCCCCTGACCCTGAGGAGAGCGAAACCATTCTCTCCCCTCAGGAAAAAAAGGGGGCTTGTCGCCCGCGCGTCCCTCCCGGTCCACGAACAAAAGCCGAAGGAGGCGCTGGGATAACCACCATCTTCTTCCCCGCGGAGCCCTACCTTGTTCTTGACCTCGGCCGAGAGCCCGTACGAGGGGCCCTTGTTGAAGTGGGTCATGGCGGCGGGTCGGTGTCCGTGTGCCTTACGCCTTGTGGCGCCAGAGGTAGTAACGCTCTGGCTCGCCTATGCTGCTGGTGCTGCTGCTGCTGCTGCCTGCCTTCCTGCGCTCGACTGGGCGGCTTTCTGGGTGCTGCCTGAGCTCCGAGAGAGCGAGGGCGGGCCGGGCTCGTAGGGGGAGAGGGAAGGAGGAAGGGAGGGACGTGGGCCAGGCTGCCTGACAGGGGAGCCCCGCCGCGGAGCTGCCGGCTGCAGAAAGTTCTAGTCCCTCCCTTGTCCGAAAGGGCGGCCTCCGCCGAAACATCCATTTCCCTTCACAGGAGCTGAGGCGGCGAAACGGCCTGGGGGGGGGGGAATTATAACGCCCCTCAGCTTCTCATCTGGGCTCGTACCACAGATGAGGGCAAACTCTTATCCCCTGCTAGATCAGACTCCAATATAAACTACTCTGGTTTATACACGGAATAAACTCCATGCAGCTAAACCCATAAATAAAAATAAAAACACTCACAGGCACACGACCTTAAATACAACCAAGATGGATTGTTTTCCCCAAACTTTGGTCCTTAAAGCTGTTTTGGGGGGACTACAATTCCCATCATCCCTGACTGCTGGTCCCACTAGCGAGGGATGATGGGAGTTGTAGTCCTCAAACAGCTGGAGGCCTCTAAGTTTGGGAAACACTTGATTGCTGCGACGCCCTCCACTTTAGGCAGCTATCTTTGAAAAGTTAACTGGGATGCTTCAGCTGGCCCAGAATTCAGCTGTGAGGATGTTGGTGGGCCCAGGATCCCGAAGCAGCCACACCCATGTCATGAACTGGCTGGATGCAGGGGGTGGGGGTGGGACGCATCCGCTGGGGGGAGCACCCTAGGATAGGAGAGCTACATCAGTTGCATAGGGAACCCCCAGATTGAGAGAGGATAAGGTGTTCTCCTCTCCTCACTTGGTGGTTGTTTTTTATGTACCGTAATTGTCATTCAAAATGTTGTAAGCCACCCTGAGTGGTGCTTTTGCATCAAAGAAGTGAGATATAAACATTTAAAATAAACAAATACCCCAGGGTAAAACTCTGGGCTAATCATGGTGATAGTTGATCACATCTGAGTCCACTCAAAATGACAACTACTCTGGGATAAACTCTTCTCAAGGTAATATAATCATTTCAGCTACCTACAGTGAGACCATGCTTATAATTCCTTTCAGGTGGTAATGAGGATTTTACCACATAGTAGGCACATATGATAAAACGGTTGTCTGTATGCATCATCCTGCCAGGTAAGAAGAATTTTACCACACATCAGTTGGTAAAATAGCTTTATGGGCATCTGAGCATGTGCAGGGTGCTTCTCCCCCCTATTGAATAACAACAGTGCACCCACCAATAAATTCCTACAAAAGCAGCATTCTTTCTTTTCCTTCATATAATTTAATAAACACTCTTAACCAATATACCAGGGGTCTGCAACCTTTAAGACAAAAAGAGCCACTTGGACCCGTTTCCGAAGGAAAAAAACCCACTGGGAGCCGCAAAACCATTGCGACATTTAAAACAAATATATATCCGGAGCCGCGATCTGACAGCGGGCGGGAAGGTGACGTCGGGATGGTGCGTGACTAACCAGTACAGCAGCCGCCACAGTGGGGAGTGTCGGGGCACACAATGCGTCTCCTCCCTTCGCTAGTAGTTACACTCGGAGCCGCGGCAAAGGTGTAAAAGAGCCACATGCGGCTCCGGAGCCGCGGGTTGCAGACCCCTGCAATATACATTTAGCAGGGGGTGTTTGGTGGGTTAAGAGGCTGTTGGAAGTTCTGGGATTTAGGGAAGGTGCTATGAGGAGAAGGAAGGCTCAAGTGAAGGAGAATATGTGGAAAAAGTTATTATGAAAACATATTGGGAACTGTGTACTAAGATCACGGAGCCAGGGGATAGCCAAAGGGAGAATTGGCAGTTATTAACTACTGGAGCGTAAACTGCTCATCATTTTTTTGCCAAAAAGTGGAGAAACATCAAGATCAGTAAAGAATCCCTTGCCATTCAGAGCTTTGTAGCAACCTTATGGAAAAATAACATGCAGGAAACTTTGCCTTAGGAATCTGAAATAGCCACTAATTTCTAACACATGGTGCATGAGAGATGCAGATACTTGTTAAAAAAGAAAAGCCATTGCTGGACTAGATCAGTGGCTGTGCTGATTCTCTCCCTGCCTAAACATCACTTGAATCTAAACTACACACACACACACACTTCCTGTAATTTAGTCTTCAATTATTTTATCCCTTGGCTCCATCACAGGGAATTGTGGATATGTGGGATGACTTCATAAGAGGAGTAGCTACATTTGCCCTGGCAGGGTTTATGTGCTTTTGAGAAAGAGAGAGCGAGAGTGAGAGAGATTCACAATGTCATTGCCTATTATTGCATATATTTGGTACAATAAACACATTACCTGCTGAACTTCTGCCTGCCATAGGCAGAAGAGGCAGAATGCGCATGTGCACACATAACATATGACAACTCCTACAAATGTTTTGTAGATGAGTGGAACTTAGAGGCAGCGGAGTGAAACATTAGCCTATCCAATTACTGGGACAAGTGTGCTCCATTGCTAGAGTGTCTCCTCCCACCTCTGGCTGGTGCAACAGCCACTATGGACAGTGCGAAACACATTGTATGAATATTGAAAGGACATCCTGAAACAGAGACTGGTCACAAGAAAGCACTGTATTTTATAACATTTGGAGGAAGGGGAAGAGATGAGAGACCGTAAGGGGTTTGTGGCTGTTGCATTTTTGCATTTTTACATTGCTGTACACACCAGAGGATGGAGATGTTTTCACCCAATGTGCATTACCAGGTTCCTTTTTCCACCCCTCAAACTCCAATTCAATGAAACTGTCATTTGCACATGCATTGTCTTCTGTCTGAAATGTACATACTTCGGCTTAACAGCAATATGTTTTCAAATCGGATGGATGTTGGTTTGAGGAGAAATGCAGCAAACAGCGGTATTTCTTAAAAAGCTGCACTTTTAAAGAAAGTGTAGGATGCATATGAGTTGTGGCTAATGTCATGTGTACTCAGCTTCAAATACCAGAGGTGGGAGGGCATTGAAGATGGGTGTAATCGGCAATGTTTACCGTCTAAGTCTGCTCTTTCCTCCTTATGTAGGTGAAACAAATAGTGCCATAACACTACAAAAGACACTAGGCTCAGGCTTGCTAATTGAGTTGTTTTTAGGTTTGAGCTCTATTTTGCAGTTAAACATGAACAGAGGGAAAAAGAACTATTTAATTGTTTAAAACATGGGAACAGCAGTGTAAATTTGTGGTAGAAGAGTAACTGACAACAAGAGCATGCACCAAAAAGTTTTAATTTTAACAGTTTTTTTGGTTCTGTGGATATAGATATTAGAATTCATTAAAAAAACAAAAACAAATTGGCATACATAGAACTCATAATGCCCTGGCCCTAATCTAGAGGTATTCCTGCAAGAAAATGGTTTGAAGAACCTCCTGTGCACAGCAACATAGGTAATTTCAACCCACCGGTTCCAAATGGACAATATTTGGGGTAGAATTCAACAGAAAAAGCAAGAGGAGCTCCAAACAGAGCAGGGCTGAATTACCACATTAATACTGTTAGCATCTAAAGAAGGAACCCCATAAAACCATCACTCCAAAGTCTGAAACAACTGCAGGAAACCTGTGACTCTCCAGATGTTGCTGGCCTACATCTCACATCATCCCTGGCCATTCCCATGCTGGCTGAGGCTGATGGGTATTGCAGTCCAACAACATCTGGAGGGCATCATGTTCCCCACCATGGCCCAAAATTACCTAACTGCATCATAGTCTCAACTTCACGATAAAATGGGATGGGGGTGGAGTCATGTACACTATCTTGAACCCCCTGGAAGGAGGAAAGACGAAATGCCAAAGTGATCAATAACAGCGACAAAATAAAAGGTGCTATGTGAAGGCTGCTCAGCTGATGAAGGCTCAGATGTGCATATCCATCAGCATCATTTTAGATCACAGGCAGCCCCCTAAGAGCCCCTCAGTAAGAGAGACCAGTTATCAACACTGGATTGCCATTGTAACTCCTCTGGCATGCACAAAGCTTTGTACCTGCAGAAGAGGATCTGCAGATCTATTCTTTCAATCTGAACTCTATTTCCTTCATTTGTGATTAACACACTGCTGGATTTTATACATGCAGAAAGCAGAGCAACGGGTGTTTCCCCCTGCCCACCCACCCCCACCCGAAATCTGAAATATGGAAAAGAGTTAAGAATCTGGTGAGGAGTTACCATGTCTCTACACATGGAGGGTTGTTGTGCTGAGGTGTCAATTATTATTAATCACACTGGAAAGACTCATATTCCCAGAACTGAGAGAACAGCCATGTCATTGTATGGCTAAGACTTTCTTTTCTTTTTAAAACAGAGAACCACAGCCCTGTCTTTCATATACTTAATGGCAGCATGCTGGTACAAACCCTTGGAGATAAATGTTTCTATACTCATGTAATTTCACTTTAAGTACTGTAGTGGACACAGTGTCTAGCAATAGCTACTCTCTTCTTTCTTTCCTTTTTGGTTTTTGTTACATTTGTTCTACTAGGTGCAGACTTTCCCAGCTCTCATTCTGCAAACTATGTCGACAGATTTCTCTTTTCATCATTTTGTCCCAAAAGGGTTTCATCTGCTTTTTGAATGACTGTGGATGCTGCAAGGCACCTGTGTTTCTCTCATGCTTGCTTTGTAGCAAATAATAGATGATGACAGATTTTCTTGGCAGTCATCATTGGATCCTAAATTACACTTATGGATATTTCAAAATCGATGTCTGGACAGACTTTCTTCTTCTTCTTCTTCTTCTTCTTCTTCTTCTTCTTCTTCTTCTTCTTCTTCTTCTTCTAAAAAAACTATGCTCACAAAGTCCAGAATATAAATGTGAAGTTGGAAAGAAGCAAAACAAAAAATATAGGTTTTAATATAGATAAGAATTATAGTGGCTGATAATAGCTAAAATGAAATTTCATATTAAGGATCAGTTGCTTTCTGTATTGATAGCATCTGATCACAAATTCCCAATGTTTAAAATGAATTCGGGCTGTGGGTGACTTACAGAAAAGAACTAGAAATTAGCACAGTCTAGTAGTGGTTCTCTATAATTATGAACACTAGTCTTCATTTAAAACAAAACGTTCCAGCACTAAAGGATGTCTCCTCCCTGTGTGCCTTCTGCACCCAGATGAGTACCTTCTTTTAATTTGGTAAAATACTGGACTCTTTTTACAATTACAGTGTTCCATTAGAGTGGTAAGGTCACCATGCGTGCAATGGACGGTACAAAATTCAAATGTATATGCTTTGCATTTTTGTATCTTCTTTAACACTGAAATGCTTTGCTATTGGTTATTTGTAAAATATAAAGCACCAATCACACAACTGCCAAACATATGTTTCCTATTCTGCTTTATTCTATTACAGCCAGGTAGGTTTTGGATATCATTGCTGCTACAAGAGCAGTATTCCTTTGCACATGCAAGCTGCTAAAAGGTCATTTACCCTTCACTTTCTCCCCCTTCCTCCAGAAAACTCCTCCTCTCTCACTTCTTCTTTGCTCTGGTCATTCTCATTTCACTTTCAGGAAGCTCTCTTCAACATTATACTGAAAAACTTAATCGAACATCGCCCCACCCAAATACTGTATCTGTACTGAGATCCAGTAACTGAAAACTTCCAAATCTAGTCCAGCTCGAAAATATACTTAAGTGTTGTACTCATTTTGTGCCACAAAGTATGGGTTTTGTGATACAATCCATAAGTGTTTATTTACAGCTCATCGGGGTTTGTAGTTAATGCCCCCCCTCCGCAAAATAACATTGTCTGATCTCCTCCAGACCTGTACCAAAGTTTCGTGTGGCTTTGTGCCTTGCTGGGAAGCTGAACAAACACTTATGACTAATGCCAGTCTCAGCAGGGCTTGCCAAATTTTAAAGGTGAGAAATTCAAGTTCCACTTGCCAAGGGACAGTCAGCAGTGGACTTTTAGGGTCCCAACTGTGGCCTCAGGCTTAACTGCTCCACACCTGGGCAGGTCGGCATGCCTCGGAAAAATGACCTGAAAAGGAAAGGTCCGGTACCTTTTTCATATGTGGTGGACATGTAAGATAGCAAAAGTGCTCTGGGAAATGATTTATAATGAATTGGGGGGGGGGTTGGGAAAAAAAAAGCCAGAAACTTTTCTTTTAACCTGGGGCTATGGTGGAATGCCTATGATACCTTGCCTTTCCCCTCTTTTCCCCAAGCTTAAATTTATTTATTTTACTTTGCTTTTAGGATGACTGGGCACACTGAAAAACACAAGTGCTGATGAGGTCCCAGCCACCCATCATTTTAATTTAAAACTGATTCATACACAAATTGTCTGCAAATCTCTGTCATGGGTCTATATCCTGAGTTGTTTAATCACCTAGCAATGCTCCTGTCTGCCACCGACTACTGAAGAGCTGCCATCACTGAATAATCCATTTTAGTGGCACACACTTCATGGCACATACATAGTTGATTCTCATCCGACTTCTCTGAGCGATGAGAAGTTCAAGGACGCAACACTCACTTGGGGTTGGCTCCCTTTGAAAGGTGGTGACGTTGTTGTTGTTTGTTGTTGTTTTTTGGTAATACCTGGTTTTAAATTCTCCCTCCCTCCCTCGGCTTGAATATAGAGGGAGACACAGCTTAAACACTAAAACTGACACCAAAGCCCACTGCTCCCATATCGTATCTCCAGGGTGATAGCCAGAGCCCCATGATGCATATGAAGCCCAAATTCAGCTTTCTGTGCCCCCCCCCCCGCCCCGCCTGTCTATGACTTAAAACTACATTCTGTCCTTTACACACAAACATTTGGATTACCTCATCCTTAGCTGGTGGTTGGGGGGGGGTTGTCCCCTTCTATAATCAGTTTTCCATACTCTGAACAGTCCCAGAATCCTGCATCAAAAAGCAAATGTGTAACTATTTAGTTCCCATAGCTCTGTGTATCACCTTCAGTTTCCATCCACCAAAAGGATGTAACTGGCCAGAGTTGTTCCAAAAACTTTAAGCAGTTTATTTCCCCATTAACCTTCCCCTATCTAACCCCCAATATTACAATATTTCCTTCTTTCTAATCCAGTGGTTTTTCTTGCTATACTCTTTAACAGGATATGTGGAGAAAAATGCATTTTTTTAAAAAGCTTTGTATGTTTAAGGTTCAAGTCATATTTCAATGCTTTCCCCCGTTAACCATGAGACTAAGACATTTCCTTTTATAGGCAATGAAATCTGAGATTAGTATATTTTCTGTGCTGAGGCCCTGACCAAAAAAGAAAAAAGTACTGAATGTTACAAAGCTAGTGATAATATCAAGAGAATTGGCACCAGTAAGAAAAGCAGGCATCCCACTGGTGATGTTTTGTCACTGGTAATAAATGTGAACGGAACACATTTTCTTCATTAGATCTAATCTGCTCCTGCTGGTTTTTACTAATGAATGAAACAATACGTTAAGAGAATGAAGGTCAAATGTGAGCTGTATAACATTTTCTACAAGCTAGACAGAAGAGATAGTTTCTTATCTAAAAGTCACAAGGCAGGGGAGCCGTTCGCAGAAATTATTTGTGGCCGGGAACAGTGATGCAGCTAGGTGATTTTGGACACAGAACTTAATGGCCTTATGGGAATCCCCTTAAGAAAATCCACGTGTATTGCTTTAGTTACAAAGCACACAGTTGACATTATGCACCCACCCACCCACCCACCCACCCAGTTGTGATTCCATGCTCTACAACTGTGTGTCTGCATTTCTGAAACATGGGGGGTGCGGTGAGGTGGATAAAGTTATAAACACGATTATAAACAAAATCCATACTTTGAGAATGTGCACATTCAGATTTTAATCTCACTTAAATCTTAGCGCCATCATGACTTTGAGAATAAAACAGACTTTGGTTTATTGGGGGGTTAGGGGAGCACCATTTTCTGGTACAGAAGATTGTTCTATGTTTGTGAGGTGCCTGGATTCCCCTTCTAATTCTGAACCCCCCTCTTCTAATTCTGGAGAGCTGGACATTGAAGTTAGCATGTAAAAATATAAGCCAGGCTGGCTTCCTGATGAAGTAATTGCCAGGAGTGATGGATTAATAGAGCACAAAATGGGTGACGTCCCATTTTGTTGTTGTTTAGTCGTTTAGTCGTGTCCGACTCTTCGTGACCCCATGGACCAGAGCATGTCCCATTAAAATGGGACCCAAGGTCCCATTAAAAAGGCCATTAACAGAGACTTTCTGGGTTCGATAGCAAATGGCAAAAGCCCTTCTCTAAGGAGATAGTTAGCAGAGACAAAAGACCAGAGTTTTAGGAGGGGGGGGACAGAACTGCAGTCGGCAATAAGGTAAATAAAAAGGAAAGAAGTGTCAGTTTTGCAAGGTGGAAGGGGGCAGAGCACAAAGTGCGCTGTCTGTTTTATGCTGCGGAGAGGGCCAGACACAATGTTTGGGGTCTCTTGGAATCTGAGGCTGCAGCAATGGAAGGAACAGGACCCTCTTGGGATGTGAATTGTCTGCACTCTCTCCATCTAGGCTCTGGTTGTATATATGTGTAAATAAACCATATATCCTAAAGACACCACAGTCTCCGCTGTGCCCCATTGCCCGAAATAAACCACAGACTCTGGAAAACGCATCTGGCACCCCTGGAATCGCTCACCGCTCAGAGATTGGGATGGCATGCAATCATATATTTAAAATAAAACAATATGATAAGCCTCTGTAACAACATACATGCCTGTCTGGCCACCCCAGGTCTATAATGTTTTTAAGGAAGAAGCATGCTTCCTTCAGGGGCCCTGGCTTGCCCATACTGGCCCAGGTGATGATGCGGGGACTGTTTTCCATAGTTGCCACTCTCTGGGTGGTCATGGGCTGGGGGCTGGGTTGAGGGTCCCGCACTGTAGCCTTAAGGCCCATTCCTGGCTGCACCACTGACCAGGAACCAAAAAACGTCCTCCAGAATGGAAGGGTATGATTTACCCTGGCATAATGACACTAGCTTACTGTATTTTGGATTGCTCTGCGAGTCACACTTTGAAATCTATGGAACTTAAGTAAACTATAACTAGATTCCTGCATTGCAGAGGGTTGGACTATATGACTTGGGGTCCCTTCCAACTCTACAGTTCTATGATTCTAACTGAAATCTCATGGACCGAGTTCAGTGGGTCTACTCTAAGCATGATGACGTCTGGATCCAACCCTTAAATCAGTTTTGTTGCTTTCTGAGCTCTGCAAATTTGGATTCTAAACTGTAAATAGCTCTGTTTCCTGTTATTCTATGCAATCTAGAGTCCTGTGTAATCAAACTAATCATTTTAAATATATAATGGCATGTGGTTTTTTTCTTTGTGAACCTGTGATAGCCAGGTTCTTGGGGAATCTTTCAACCATGTAGGGCTCCATAAAGAAATTTCAAGCCTTGGGGAATTGTGTTTCTCCAGAGGATTAGTCAACATTTGATATTCAGCTTATACAAAGACCTAAGAAATCCATCCCTCATGACACAACAACATTGATACCAGCTGAATTTATTTACTTACGGTTGATTGGGGTGGGGGGGACATCTATTGTGAACTTTGTATCCCTGATATTAAATTACCTGGTAATGGAACAGATTTGGGGCATTTCATTTTAGGAAGGATTTATAACAAAATATAATGGATGCTCACCTCTCATTTGCCAATTCACATTTAGCCCAGGCAGCTGGAAACCACGTCACCCAAATCTCCAAGCAGTGTGAGACTCCGGGGTTCCCATGCTCTACCAGTGTGGTGTAGTGGTTAAGAGCGGTGGACTCGTAATCTGGTGAACCGGGTTCGCTTCCCCGCTCCTCCATATGCAGCTGCTGGGCGACCTTGGGCTACGCACACTTCTCTGAAGTCTCTCAGCCCCACTCACCTCACAGAGTGTTTGTTGTGGGGGAGGAAGGGAAAAGAGATTGTTAGCCGCTTTGAGACTCCTTAGGGTAGTGAGAAAGCGGGGTATCAAATCCAAACTCTTCTCTTCTTCTCTGTTTTATTCAGGGTTTGGTTTCCTTGGAATGAGGAACAGCAGAGACTGTGGTGTCTTTATGATGTATGGTTTATTTATACCTATATAGAACCTGAGCCTACAGTGGAGAGGCTCACAGCATTAACACCCCACTAGGGTCTTGCTTCTCCCATAGCCACAGCCTTGGGTTCAAGCAGAAATCAGGCGTGGCTCTGTCTCTCAGCTGCTCAGTCTGCAGGCAGCTTCCAGCTTCTGGCTCACGCACCTCAACTCTTGCCTTTGTCTTTCTTTCTATCTAACAGACAGTTGAGGGAGGGGGTCCACCCATTTGTCCTCTGGCACAGAGTCACTTCCTTTGTTACCTTAACGACAGTAAGGTAACAAAAGGGCGGTACGGTTTCAACTGGGCCTCTCTCTTAGCTTCCCCCCATTTGCAATAATTCTGACCTACCTTGTAGGGTTGTAATGAGAGAATGCATATATGAAGTGCTCTGAAAACTCTAAAAAGCACTATATAAACCCCAAGTATGTTAAACGTGAAAAATAGCCACTTTTTATTATATGGCTTGTTCTAACCTCTGTGTCCTCACCGTGTGTCACAGTGAAGTTCTGATCATCAACCACTATCACTAACGCATTCCAAAAGGAGAGATAGATTTGTCTTCAAATGAGAGTCTGTTGAAGTCAGGGGCTTCAACAGCTAGTGATGAATGTGATCCAAAACACCTGAATAGCTGCCACACACCCTCTTTTACACTCCAGCTGCAGTGAATCATTTCCTTTTCCCATATCCCAACAGATAATTTAATTCTGCAGCACAGAATGCAGGCAAGATTAGGACATTCGCCCAGTTTAATTGCCAGCTAGATTTGCAAGCAAGGTCACAATTCACAGTGCCAGACTTTAGTTGGACAGTGTTATGACAGAGCAGGAAACATTAATCACCGTAGCCAGCAGAAAATTACAGTTTAAAGCAATACTCATTAATCCTGTTTGCAAGGATTGCCCCTTTCCTTGTTTTTTTGTTTAAAGAAAAGGTATATTCAGCTGTACTGTCAGGTGAGGCATAGCTAGGAGGTGGCCGCAGACAGTAGACATTAGTGACTGACACGGAAGGATTACATCCTTAATTCAATTATTTTGTTTTCATCCGCTTTCCTTCAGCATGCAACTGGTTTGCTACAGGAGGAAATGTGAAACTCTTTGTGGTACACCACAATAACCTCACTATACTGATGCCCTCCACCACCACCCCCTACAGTGAAAATCACCCATGTCCTCTGTTCCCCTTGTTGCAGCAGCTGATTGGCTGTGAAAACCAAAACGGTGTGGTGGCTTTTCTTAACATTTAACATACCTTCTTTGTGCATTGCTAATGGAAGAACAAAGTCAGAGACAGATCTCTTAGGACAACAGAACTGCAACCCTGTCCCAGTTCTTTCCCCTGCGCCTCTGGAAGAGAATGAGGAGTCAGAGAATATCTGCACAAATTTTTGGTTGTAATCTAATGGGCCAGGAGAAGCAGGAACTTCCCATTCTGAATCCCATTATCAGGTTTGAGCCCATTGTGCGTCTTGTTTGAGGTGGTGGCCCGAGGATTGTCATGGCACCAGGAATCATCAGAGACTGAGTCCTCTGATGACAGCAGCCCCTGGGGGTGGGGAGATGCATTAATTCCCTCATCCATCCCATGTGGAGATGCTGTCACTGGAACCAACATCTTCTCTCCTAAGCTTCAAGGAGACACTGTAGATCTGTGGAGGAGCTATCCCTGCAGTTTCAAACACTAAAGTCTAGAATAAGCCAACAGCTGCAGATGAAGGCACTGCCCCTTTGATTGGCTACATTCAGAGTTCAGGGGGTGGAGCCTCTAGTCAATGAACAGCTAAGTCCAGGCTAGAAAGATCT